GTTGGGGCAAAAAGTTTCAATATTCCCTTCAAAATACCTACTCTAAATATTAAATACATAGACAATAGTAGTGGACATCAGTGGCGTATTTACGGGGGGGATATGGGGGATAGATCCCCCCCCTTGACCTTTTTTTTTTTCCTAGGTAGCTAAGTTGTCTCATTTTCTCTAATATTCTTAATATGATATAATTATAAGTGAAATTACTTTCAAGCATGTATGTTTAATAAATGTTCTAGTCGTGGTAATTGTAGTAATTGTACCGCTCTGATAGTAAAAAAAAAGAGAGTCATTTCAAAACAAACTTTGAGAGATAATCCAAATCTTCTGGATTGTTCCATTGAACATTATTATTGTGTTACAGTATTTTTACCGTATGTCGATTACTATTTAATGCAATTGACTGAGCGATTTATTAATCATAAAGCTATATTTGAAGGTAAATATATTATATGTATTATATTTAATATTTATACACTTTTTTTTAGAATTCGCAACTTTATACCTATTACATATAATTTATTTTATAGGTTTTAATTGCATTTTCCAATCAGAATCACTTATGGTAGAAATGGAAGATATTGTTGCTTTTCAAAAGCTTGTTGAGTTTTATTCATCAACAATTGACCAACACTCTAGCATTGCTGAATTAAAGATGTGGAGAGTTAAGTTGGTGAATGAAAAAATTGTATTCACCTCTGGGTTACATGCGTTGGATGTTTGTGATAAAGAGTTTTATCCAAATATTCATGAACTCTTGAAAATTTTTTGTACATTGCCTGTATCGACTGCTACACCTGAACGATGTTTTTCAAGTTTGRAGAGGATTAAGTCTTACCTAAGAAATAGTATGACAGAAGTAAATATTTTATCAATTTTCTTATTTAATACTGAAATATAATTATAAATTAGTAATTATTWTATACTTTGTTTATAAGAACCGACTTAATGGGTTGGCTTWATTGGCATGTCACCGGTCGATACAAATCATGCCTGATGAGGTTATCGATGAACTGAGCATCCAAAAAAACAGAAAATTGGATTTTGTATTGTAACTATATATTATATATATATATATATTTTATTATTATTATTATTATTTTTTATTTTTTTATCGTATTAAACACGGGATTGGTGCTAGTATGAACTTATAATAAATGCTATTAGGTACTTATATATTATTTGTGTTAATTTTTATTTTGCCTTGATCCACACTAACCTCAATAGGTAACAAGTTAGGGGATTTTAAAAATGTATATTATGTACGGATTTATGGGTGTTAGGATGTATTATTATATATTTCATCCCCCCCCCTAGCAAAATTCCTAAATACGCCACTGGTGGACATCTATTTGAATTTTCAGACAATTTTTTTGCTTTTAGTGATTTTGCCTTCTTTGAATTTTAATTTATGTTGCTTTATGTGTTTAATACTATTTGTTAATTCCAGTGTATAATAATGAGAAAAATACTTGAGGTAAATAACTAAAACCAAGACAATACTTCCATTTCTTACTCTGCTCATTAACTAAAATATAATAAATAAAAATAAGCTAATCTTATACAGTTATTTTAGTAAGCATCTTAAAGTATGATACATTCTGTTACAGATCTTTAACTGTTAATTTTGAATCATATTATTACTGACGGTAATTTCACATTTCAGTAGCATTCAATGTTAAGTTATAADTTAATAAACAATATATTTAATTCAAAAATATTAGAGGAGAAATGGAGAAAAAWTTTAAGTTAACTTGTTTAAAAAGAATATTATTCATTTTTATTTTAAACCCCTGGTTACACAAATAATAATTGCGTACCTAACTTACATTTATTTTTAAATAATAAATTAATAACTAGATACCTATTCAGCTGAAAATTTATTCTCTAGTATTCCTCATCTTACCAATTAAAAAATAATAATAAATTATTTTTCTAAGAATGCATCCTATAATATTCCTATTTGATTATATTACTTAATAACTTACCACATATTGTATTTTATTCAATAATTTAATCAAACTTAAATAATATGTACTTCAGTGGCGGTCCTTGACCAATTCCAGAGGAGGGGGGGGAGAAAATATTTTTCACATTAAATACAATAAGTACTCAAAAATGGAAGTCTTAAAATAATTTATTTTATGTAATAATTTTATATTTTATATTTAACCAAGGGATTCACCCATCCCCCGTAGGACTACCACTGATGTACGGTACATCAATATCAACGACGCGGTAAAAATAGATTTGATACTATTGTACAATTAATTGACCCTTAATCCGAGCCTGTGACGACACGGTAGTCATATGTTCATATTTTGTTTTAAATAAAGTTAGTCCACATTATTTTAACTACCTATAACCTATATAAAAAACCATTAATGTTTTAAATTATTATTTTTTATCGAAATCAAATTATTATATTAGTATTAAATATTGTCCTGAAATAGTATATCTAAGAATTATATTTGTATTTATATTTTATATTTACACTCCAACAGATGATTCTAATGAAATAAAAACAAAATACTCTTTTTATTTCCACAACATTTTTTTTTAGCTTAACGATGTTTATTTTTGTGATACTTTGAATACGATGCATTTAAATTAAAAAAATTGAAACATTCATTTTTTAGAGTTGGTATTGAAGTATACGCTTATAATGGCAGACAAATATTATAAACACAAAAGTGGAGCTGAAAAACGTAAAATTCGGTCTGAGAAAGAATTACAATTATTGAGTAGAGATCCAAAACAAACAAAACTTAATTTTTTTGCAAGACCAACACATTTAAAAACCGATAGTACAATCGATCCACAGCTAAAATTAAGACAGCCTCTATCATYATCATCATCATATCATGATAATGACTTAGCAATTGAATTAAATAACCCATCAAAACAACATAATGATTTAGAGTCAACAATTAACCAAAAAAATAAATCTTATTCTGAAAATGATTTATCTACTTTTAAAAATTATTCCAATGAAACAAATTATAATGAGAAATTAAAAGAAGATTCTGAGATAAATATTTTACATCCATTTCTACTACCTAACCAAAATAATTCTTCTATTTATGAAAAGATGGCATTTTTAAAACTTCATCCAATTCAACCTTCTGATATTAAATCACTAAGTTTTGATCCTCGTAAAGTTTATTTTCGACTATTACCGACAGGAGAAAGTCTACAGAGAAAATGGTTATCATATTGCGTTGAGAATAAAAGTGTTTATTGTAGTATATGCATGGCATTTTCTATTGACAAGAACACATCTTTTTGTACTGGTTCAGTAGTTAATATTAAAGACTTGTACGAAAGACTCAACAAACATGAAAAGTCATTGAGTCATTCTGATGCAACTTCATATTATTTAATAAATAAATCTGGAGCGAATGTAGAAAATCTTATCAATACTGAAAGAGAATTAGTTGTGAAAAATAACCGAGAAATAGTTCATCGTGTAATTAACATAATACTTTTACTCTCAAAACAAAATGTAGGTTTTAGAGGTAAACGCTATGAATCTGCTTATGATTTGAATAATTTACAAAACAACCATGGGAATTTTTTAGAAGTTGTTAACTTTTTATCTACATATGATCCAGTAATGCGAGTTCATGTAGATAAAGTTTCTAAAAAAAGTGCAGAAATGAAAAAAATAAGAGAAGCGAACACATCTCAGAAACATGGCCGTGGTTTACTAATTAACTAACCTAATCTTGCACACAAACAAATTGTGAAAGAGCATTTTCCAAGTTGAAAATTATTAAAAACAGATTACGTTCAACAATGGAACAAGATTTATTAAATGCGCAACTTCTTCTAAGTATAGAAAACGATTATTTGCCTGATACAGAAAGTATAATTGATAAAATTTCAGAAAGTTCTACAACATTTTCAAAATTATTACATTTTTAAAAATTATACATTTTATATACACAAATATAATAYAAGATGTTTATTAATTGTTTTCAAAAGATAAAAATGTAACTATTATAAAAAAAATTAAATTTATTTTACACTATTAAGTTTATACAGTCCTATTGTTTAAAAACTGAAATTCTTCTTATTTAAGAAAATAAGTATGTACTATAATGAATACATTAAAAAAAATTGCTGAGAATAAAGTAGAAAGYGCATTATATGTTTTTTATTTTATAGAATGTTGATAGGGCCCTAAAAATGTTTTTGCACCCCGGGCTTTTTTATTCCAGTCCGCCACTGGATGTACCTACCTAAATGGATTAATTACATCTGAATTGAATACTCGACAAATACATTTGTATAATTTCTCAAGTTTTACTAGTTGGTAGTCGCAAACATTTAAATAAATAATACAATATGTTATTATATTAAAAGATTTTTAATAATATACATATACAGACTATACAGTGATACTTTCATAAAACGATGTTGCATGACGGAGAGCAAAAATAATTTGTTACATAGAGGAACTTATTAAGTAGAATTACATATTTGTAACAAATGGAAGTGTCACTGTACAATTATTGTTTAACTTATGGATCCCTAATATCTACATGATAATATTATATGGCTTGTTGTACAATAAAGTAATAAAGGGCTATACAGAAAAATTAAAAGCATCTAAAATGCGAGTATTGAAGTTTTATTGCAACGGAATTCAAATTTGGTTTATTGAAAGTTTAAAGTTATCTATAAAAAATAATTAATAGTAAAAGTTTACAATAAGAGAACAATAATATGCACAACATATTCCTTGAATTTCATGAACTGGCATAAGCAAGGAGGGATCTTTATTGAAGCGACAATGTGAGTTCTTCATGTAGTTAGTGATAGAACGTGGGACTAAGAAGTGAACTGTTGTCCTAGAATTTCATTGAAGTACTTGAAAACAAAGCAGAGATAAGGACAGACGAATCCAATTTATTATTCAAGAGACCTTTAAAGCAATTTATACCTGCTAAACGCTTAGTAAATCAAGTAAATAAATAAAACTTAGTAAATAAAAAAACTGATTTTAAATTGCATAAATCTGACTCAAGAGAATAATCATGCGGTTTACATGGGATCTGCAACAAATTACGGTGCTGCTAGGATGTGCAGTCTACATATATGATTAAATACTGTAGACCGCAATATCTGAGTAKCAATAGAAAAAAAAAATAATAAATGATTAAATTGGTCTAAATGTAATTTGGTATACAATACACTTATGTATTTTCCACCTATATTTATTATTAGGGACTAAAACATAAAATCATTGATTATACAACAGTGGGATATATGCCGGGTTGCACAAAACATTTAATGAATCAAAAGAGAGCTAATGGTCCCATAAAAACGATTTTGTAACCCAAAATTGGTTCATTAAATTTTTAGAGAAATTTATTATTTGCATGGAGTGTAGATACTCTCTTCTTTTTAATGAATTTTGACTTATATTTTAACAAATGTAGCTCATCAAAGTTCCAAAGAATCTTAATTTGATACCTACTGATGAGTGATTACATAATTTAACTAATTCCCAACTGAACACTAAAATATATATTTTTTTTTATAGAATTTTGACTTATTATTAACTTGTTCATGCTTATTAATATTATGTTAATTGAATATTAAATATTATTAATTATTAATTACTCCTAACATAATTCTAGTTATTCACACATATTACGAGAACCTACAAATATAAAATAAAATAATTTTTAACAATTGATATTTTAAATTTTATAATATAATAATTTYGTTTTGATGTGAATCCTAAGGTTATCACTTATCAAATGTGTAGAAAAAATTAGCGCCCATAATACCAAAAACACCATTTATGTAAGAAGATGATTTCAATAAACACAATAGTGTCTAAATTATTTTCTATACAATGTTTATGTTATATAGTACAGTGCAAACATTTTCAGTACCATAAATAACATACAATGAAAGAAATGAACAATGAACATATTATACATATATAAATACATTTATAACCTTAATTACAAAATAGTCAAATTATTCAATAAATAGCTCTTATTAGATAAATAATTAAAAAAAATTGTGATAAGTGAGATGAACACAAGGAGGGGATAATGTAAATAAGATTTACTAATAGTAAAAATAACTAAAACAAAAGTAAAAATAAAACTAATGAATTAAAAAGGAAATATAATACTTTTATTTTACATTGTGTTCAACTATTGTGGAATGCAATCAATGTTTACAGTTTACCTTATATCTCGGGGATTCACTTCCATTGGTGCAACATGATTCAGATGTACCATACCGTACTGGTAATCTAAAAGAAATAAATATTAAATACTTAATAAATTAATAAAAATAATACTAACCTGCTCCAGTCCCAGCAACATAAATTGGATAACCATAACCATAACTGTAGTGAGGATTATATACTGTGTATGGAATATAATAACAATATCCTAAAATAATGAAAATTACATTTTATTTAACAAAATATATTAAAAATATATAAAACTTTAAACAATATATGGCTATTGTACATGATTTTAATTTACAGTAGAAAGTGGCTTTAATAACTTTCAATAAACTGCAAATAAATTTTTTATAATTGTTGGATCTTAAACGCATGTAGTAAACAATAAGCTTATTAAATACTTATGTATGTAATATATAGTATATAACACTACATAAGCTATATTATTTWAAAAAATGATATAATATAAATTTTTATTTATAATTTATTTTTAAGTATATTACTTAGTGCCTGCTCTAACCCCGTGGTTAATTACAAAACATTGTGTTAGTTGCGCAAGTCATTGTATTGTATAACATTAGAAAAATATATAAGATTATTAGATCAGTTGTGACTCATTAAATTGTGTTGTTATAACTGATTCTTACACTATACTGTATACTATACAGTGTATACTGTAAAAGAAAAATATATTTACCTCCATAATAGTAATCAGGAGCGAAAGACGTGTATCCAGACTGAGGCAGAAAACCTATTACAAATATTAAATTTTATGTAACAATAAATTATTATTATATTCAATACTTAATAGTATTAAGTAGAGGTCGTGACTACATGCGTAATGAAATACACGGGTACCTATGTTTTTACCTATGACGGAGAAAACACTGTGTATCTAAATATTTTAAATTATGTTTTTAATAGAAAAAAGTTGTATTGCATTATTATTAAACAACAAAATAATAATAAAACATATATGTATGTATATAATATATTAATTAATTAATTCAAAGATATAGTATAAAATAAATACAATTAATAATAATAATAAATTTATCAACAAGCAGTAATACAGAAAATTTAAATAAATATAAAATAACAAAGCAATCACTCACAATCTAAGAAGTTATAATAATTGTTCATTATATCCTCAAAAATATTAATTTCTATCATTTTTATAATGCGTGATTTTACTTTAAGATAACTCAAAAGTTAAAAATGATTTTGAATATATACGTTTTATCTATGTTGTGCATTGGCCAGAGAGAAAACAAACAGTGCGCTGACATCATCTTAAGCATAACTAATATTTAATCAAAACATCTCTAACATTATATTATTATAAATATTTATATTTTAAGTACATCTGAATTCTAAATTACAATCGGGTATTAAATAAACAGATACACACAGGCTTTAATACAGGGTGATTGATTTATCAAACAACACTCATTATTTAAAAAAGTATTGACTTTTTTCAAAATATTTTTTTACATAGTTTCAAGTTATTAAAAAATTATATTTTTAAATATTTTTTATCCTTATCATTTTTTTTAAGTTTTTTACTTTTTTTGAATGACAATATAAAGTTTTAATTTCATATTCTAAAGCAGAATATTTTTTTAAGTATTTTGATTCATAAAAGTCGAATTTAGGACGAGTAGTTTATGAGTTATAAGTATTTAAAGTTTAGATTGGCAGAGTGGAGTGATACAGGGTTACCCCGCAAAATGTTTGTCCACTACTCCGCTTATCTAAACTAATTTTTATGAATCAAAATACTTAGAAAAATATTCTGCTTTGGAATATGAAATTAAAACTATGTTGTCATTCAAAAAAGTAAATAACTTAAAAAATGATAAGGATTAAAAATATTTAAAAATATAAATTTTTAATAAAAACGTTGGTTTTTAAATAACTTGAAACTATGCAAAAAAATATTTTKAAAAGTCAATACTTTTTTAAATAATGAGTGTTGTTTGATAAATCAATCACCCTGTATATTTTTTGCCCGCATACCCGGCTCCGTGTACTTATGTATTCTAATAACTGTTCACAACCACAACCAGAAGCGGTTTGAGTATACTGTTTTTGGTGCACTGCACCACCAATGTTGGTGGGTGGGGTGGGTGGTCTTGGTTGAGCATGTGCTGACCGAAATGTTTAATTTTAATATTCCAATAAATGAATAAATTACCTAATCAATGACATTTTATAAATGATAATCGTGGCTGAAGCTGTTGAAAGCGTAGAGTTAAGAATATAAGGGCCTTATAAACTATAAACTTAT